TGCATCCAAATGTGCCAGTGGCGGGAAACATGAGCAACCTGGTGGCAGTGGAAGCAGGCGGGTCTGTCGTCCGAAGTTCGCCATTTCGTTGAATGGCAGGATCTTGGAGGACAATAAGACTAATTGAAGAACGCATACATAGTCATTTGCCAGTAGTCGGGTCGTGATGCAGAGCAGGTGACAGGCAAGCCGAGGTTGGCGATTTCATGCCGCACGACGACTAGAATAACTGAGACCGTGAAGGGTGATTGGACAGTGGTATGGTATGTTGAAGGTGGTTGGAATAGTGCTAGACTTGTTCCTTCAATTTCCCACCGAACAATACACGTCACATTCTCTTCAAAGAGTTGTGTGGAAGTGATATCAGTACAGATTTATGTCCCCAGAGTGTTTGGTATTAGCTGAGAAAATTGAGGTGCAAAGCAGCAGTTTTTGGCCATTTCGAATCTGCAGCATTCATTTATGATTAGGTCAATGGTCAAGGCATTGCTGTATATGAGAAAATTGAAGGCATCGTCTGCGATCGCCTTGAGAATGTGACCCATCTTATCCACTTCACATGATACAGAACAGCTACCGCAGCGTGGCTGCGTGAAAGAGGAGAAAGATGACAACGGTTTTTGGTTGTTGCTGGACTGGTGCCATTTTATCCACTCAGCGCTTTGGCTGAGTAAACAAGCTACTCGTAACATAACTGGTGAAGGCGCGGGGTTACAACGTGATCCAAAAGAGATGGCTGCCAGCATCACATTATATAATATTACAATTTGTTGCTATTGCAGTCACTGCTTCACCCTTGTAATGAAATTGACTTGCCAGAGATGAATAATAACATGCACAGCCGCCCGACACCTAACATTGGTGAAATCAGCAGAAAAAAACCACAACACCCTAGAAAATTTTTTCCAATGACGTGTGACAAAAGTGCAGCACGGGGACAAGAAAAAGTGGTATTACGGCTGATTTTCTCTGACAGAAGCACAAATTCACCAAGTTTTGCATAAGTTTTCCACGCGTATGGATTCAAACAGGACAATTTCAGGCTAAATTACACATCTACTTTTGTTTGCCCCACCTGCAGTTCGGGTCATATTGCTTAATTTCATCTGAAACGCATAGATGAGAGCCAACGCTATTTTCAGAGACCAGTTCTGTAAGGATATGACGTGGTCATCTCAAGTAATTGTGCATATTAGTCTTTATATTAAAAAAAAAAAAAACTGATGTTTCATTTGAATCTGAGTTCTGTACAGTGCTCCCGGGCTCACAGATCACAATTGAGTGTTGCCACTGGTGTCCTTAACATTAATTTTGCCATGTGTGGCCAGACTTTGGGATAACAGCATGGCGTGGAGAACACCTTAGATGAAAATTGTTTGATTAAAGGTGAGTTCATAAATTGAGCTTGGTGAAAAAGCACACCATGTGGATAGTAAACAGTGCTATGAACTTTTCAGCCAAATCATGCAGCCATGCATGGTAAGTCCCTTCTTTCAGGTTTCAGAGCTGCTCACAATTGCACAGAAAAATGGCAGGAATCAATTGTGTTTCATCGGCAAAGTAATAACATGCCCCGAACGTCCTTCTTCTGATCACTGACAGATGTCAAAACAAAATAAAGTAACATACCTGGCAGACACTTCGACAGACACTTTGCTTACAACTTTTTAGTCATTCACAATCTTTGAGTAGGTGAACAAGGAATTTATGTTCCCGCTTAGTACAATTTCCCAGCTTCTATGCTTGCAATCCTTTTAAGGGATAGTGGCAATCTACCTGTCATATTTTGAGAGTGCTTGCCAAATGTGCTCCACCCCATTCTTATTCTTCTACTTACTTCAATCTCGTGGTTCGGTTCCACGGTTATTACGAAAAAAGCATACCTGCGAGCATGGGCATGCCGCGACACAACTTTGCCTATGACTTTATGCACATTGATAATTAAGGCTAGTCCCCGCTTGACCAAGTTTGTCAACCAGTTTCCCTTCAAAGGCCATGTGGGCACACCCATAGTCAGCTAAAGATGGGTCCTACTTACAACGCGGGGAATGAGTTGCTAACTCAAACACAGCTAAGTCTGCCTACTGACGTATCCTACACTACTAGCAACCCATCAAATTACGAGTCATACGAGCAAAAGTCAGATCTGAACGCCACCATGCGTCTTTGGCCGACGATATGCACACGCGCCACTTGAAATGTTTAGACCCTATGAAAAATACTTACTTTACCTGAGGTTTAAAACCGATGATACACTCCACTATTCAGCCGAGTTTGAGTTTCAGCATGTTGGCGGTAAGCAAGTCGAACAAGGACGATCCCGGCACTACCGAAACTTTCCAAGACATTGTCGATTTTTTTCAAATTGACAAAGAATTCGTGGTTCATTCTAACGTGGACACCATAGTAGCCAACAGCGTGACTCTGCCGTCAAGCGTGGGGCCGTACTTGCGTCACACCAACGAAAACATCAAAGCAAGTTACAACAGCCTCACACGTCACGGGCGTCCAGTAAACCTTGCTCGCACGGAGACCGAGGTGACCGAACACAAGGCAGAGCTCCAAAAAATGGCGGAAGCGCAGCAGCATTCCTTGGTCTCGAGAAGCTCGGTGCCTTTTTTTCCACAATAAAAGCAAGATGAAAGAAAGCTTTGTGTTTAACTTTTTATTACTGGAGCGCCGCTGTCGTTGTCGTCGAAGACTAAGAAGGGATATGTTTAAATATATATATATACTTTCTCTTAGTGGAGCTACAACGACGACGACATACACGAAAAAATATGTAGTAAGCCCCTGCTTTGCATAAGGCTGCAAGCACTCGCGGGTTTTTTTCATAACAACTAAACCACCTTGTCTGCTTTGCATAATAATTCGTCGTCTCGCAAGAGCATTGCATATTAACTAGTAGTTGCTCAAGGCTCTCTTACAAACTCTCGCGGATTTTTTCACAGTGACTAAAACGTCTCTTCTGCTTTGCATAATAATTCGTCGTCTCGCAAGAGCATTGCATATAGGAGGCTTGAAAGGGCTCGCCTCGCACACCCTCTGGCCAATCAGCGTTAAATGATACCATCTTCAACACTCCAAAATAGGCACAAAGAAAACATTTTGATTGATATGTGGGGTTTAACATCGCAATACCACCACATAATTATGAAAGACGGCGTAGTGGAGGGATCCGGAATTTTTGACCACCTGGGGTTATTTAATGCGCACCCAAATCTGAGCACACGGACCTACAGCATTTTCACCTCTATCGAAAATGCAGCCGCTGCAGCCGAGATTCGATCCCGCAACCTGCGGGTTAGCAGCCGAGTACCTTAATCACTAGAACTTCGCGGCGGGGCCATAAAGAAAACAGCTTTAAAATAAGCACAAGATGCCAACAATCAGCCAACTGCTGCGCATGTGGTTTGCGCGAAAAGTTTGAAAAAATTTTGCCTTTTGTGATGCATTTTTTAGCTCCCGTGCCATCTAGAAAATAAGTATTACCTTTTTTTTCGGGCAAAATTGGCGATAATATTTCGAGGGCAGCTTCCCGGAGGTAGAAACGCGTCTAAAATGTGTTTTTTTTTTTTTAAGCCTTGCATCCTCCCTCCCTTCAAGAGACACTTAAGGCAAATGACAATTCATGTCAGAGTAAAAGCTCAATGTATGAAGTCTAAAATGGAAATATCAGCAGCACTGCCTCACTTACCGAGAAATTCAGTTGAATGTATCACACAACATGTGCCACGAGTGGCACATTTGCGAAATGATCCCGATGACGTGAGAGCAACTTACTGCAATTAATTACTAGTAATCAAACTAGCTGCAATTAAAACAGAGCTCTCCGTGCATCAAGAAGCATAATAAATTGTTTCTTGCAAGTTTCTGTTTAATTTATAGGAAAATAAAACTGCCTGGTGTTGCTATGTGGAATGACGCGAGTTGTTCAAAAGTTCAGTTTTCGGCTGGTTAGGCTGAATAGGTGCTGCCATCTAGCTGGGCCCAGTCGAACAAAGCAAGCAGAACTATGGGCTCAGAGATTGCCGAAAATTGTTCAATGGTCGTTTTTGCTACTGTGGCTCCCATTACTTTCACTGTGCTGCTGTTGGTATCGGTGGCTGCATTGTAAACGCGGGCAACGTTAGGTACAGAACAGCGACGTCAAAAAAAAAAAAAAACGCTTTCATGCGGATGATTTGAAGTGGGCTAATGCGATGCGGATCATTAAAACAATTTTATTTCAGAATAAGCACTTCCTGGGCACAAAAGTAGCACATTGGGATTTCTGGACTGCAACTTTAACAATCAACGTCGACTTAATATTTGCCTTTAGTGTCCCTTGAATACAGGAGCAGACTATGAGCAGGTTGGTAATTTAGTTATTGAGGTGGTTGCTTGAGTTAGAAGTGGCAATATCAGCTTGTACCTTTTTGTATTTTTGGAGGGCCATGTTTTTCTTTCAATAAATATTTGCTACGTTCTACTTGTCGAGTCTTGACCCAGTTCATTGCCCGGGACCCCCCAAAGCAAGTTCTTGGAACAGCTTCTCAAGAAAGAGGGCTAGAATTCTGCAAAGTAAAGAAAGCTTAATGAAGCAGTGAACAAAAGCACGCTCCTGCACACAAAGAAGAAAAAAAAACATCTGTACTTGCGTTTGTGCCTTCTACACAGGTGTCTTGCGTGCTGCTTCCTCAATATCATGGTTCACGAACAAACCCAACAGTATACTTTAAGCAAAATTGTTGAATGTGGGAGTGAACTGTTAAGAGTCTTTGAATCAAGTTGCCATAGGAAAGCAGGATCATTACACTTTTTAAATGTGTAGCATGTCTAATGGCTGTGCTGTCATTCGACTTGCGAAAGTAGAGTAGGAACGTCCATGTTGAAGTAGTGCCCACAGTTATTTACTTCACAAGATGCATGGTTGCTGTACCAGCAAAGCAGTTGACACACAACATTGCAAAGCAACCAGGCAAGGCTTCAGCTGGGCACATTTAACAAGGCAAGCTTACCTTCAAGGATTCGCTGTTCGATAGGTCCTGCATGGCTTCCCCACGACTCGCAGAGATAGCGCAAGATGTACTTGGTTGATTCGGTCTTCCCGGCTCCCGACTCTCCGCTTACAATGATGGACTGGCTCTGTTTGAGCACCTTCATGTCTCGAAAGGCCTTGTCCGCTGCAAGCGAACAAGCTGTCACATTTCACCAGCACAGTGTTTCAGGACAAAGAGCAAAAAGAATCTTGCCAAAAAAGCACACACAATGAAAAGGGGATGTTCTGCAGATGTTTCGGAAGCAGCCACAGGTGTTTGGGAGCAGGTTTGGAGCTGCAAGTGTCTTTTTTGGAGTAGGAGATCTGTGTTTGGAACACCTTCATAATGCTGAACTTGGCTGAAATGCTGGCACATCAAGAATTTTTGTTCTTTAACGAACCTTAAAAATACTCTTCAGTCACACACTGGCCCTGCCCACCAATCTGATCATGGTAAAAAAATATTAAAAGGAAGTGAGCGATTACATAAACTGTTCCATTTTCATACTGACAGGCTCTCCAGCATATCTGGTTGTAAGTAATATTTAAAGCGGAGTAATATTTAAAGCGGAGTAATCTTAACGGAGTAATCTTGACAAACAATAACATGTCAATGCAAAGGTAGTGGAGGGAATCCAAGCAAGAACAGTCACTATCGACATAATCATGAAATGAGATTCGCAAACACATGGGCATGCGGTCAACTATGTGTCACATACCGCAGTAAATGCAAGAACAAAGCCGAGCACATAAGCAGCCTTCCCCGACAGTCAGTGCAGAAGTAAGTGGCAAATGGACCTGTGGACTCTGTATTCGGATGGGCACAATACTTGACTACAAGTCAAGGGCAGTGCGGCCTATTCTCGTTTTGCACATTTACGGCTCTCTTTCTGGCCATGAAGCTCAGGCAGGTGACATCGGAATGTGCTATATTGCTCCCGAATGAGGACTGCGATTCATTACCATCCAAACTACCCCAATAGCAATGGCCACTTTGTATCAAACAGGGTGTTCAAGTGCCAATCAATTGAAATATTATTTCAATATGTGCATCGGTGGCTGCTTCCAGGCAGCACTAAATGCTTACGCAGCAGACCAAATATCACAGCGATCATCGTGACAAAGCACTCCACATAACACACAAACAAGGCATTCAGCAGTCAGAGCTGAGAGACCAATCGAGAAATGTGAGCTTCAAACACCGAGGAGGTGGGAAACGCCGGAGCGAAACCACAGGCGAAATCACCACACATGGGCCAAAAGCCAAAGCTCTATCCAGACCTCGAGTCGAAGTCAAAGTTGGGAAAGGAGGACACCAGCATTCTAAAGGTGGGACCACAAAAAGCAAGCGGCTCGTTGTCCCAAGGGGCAGAAGACCCGAATTTGAAGTCTTTTGTTTGAAGTGCTTATATTTACCGGATAAATGTGTGTTCCTTGTGACTGAAATGTATATTTTTTTATGCTTAACCTGTTCAGTGAAGTATTGATGGTTTTAATAAATTTCTTTGTTCATGTTACAAATTTTTTTTTGATAATTTTTTTTTGTACTATTGTTAATAAACTTGTAGCAAAGGAGCACCGTCAGCCGGTTTTTGCTACATTTGCCTCTGTGGCTCGCTTCGCCCTACAGGCTTGACGGTTTCGATGGCTGCACGCAAAAGAAGAGGCCTGTTTCGTCAGCGTTGTAAATATCACAAGGCTCGTACCCCTCAACTAAAGCAGATAATGTGGACTTCCAATCATTGGTTGCTTCCACATTCACACTTGCCACTTCTCTGCTTACAGTTTTGTAAGTGATGTCGTGCCACTTGCAGAAACGATCGATCCAGCCATTTGATGCCGCAAAATCATCTATGCCCCGCTATTTCCATCGCCTTTTTGCGCAAAATGTGTGAGGGAGCGCGTGTGCCCAGCCTCCTTTTGCCTTTTACTGCAGCGCGACATCCTAGTTGCAAGGACATGACTGTTCCTTTGAGAGTCAATAAAGCCTCTTGCGAAGGAATGGAACACCCCCGTGGCCTGCACTTGCGATCGCCCTTTCCCGGCGCATAGAACGGGTTTCTTCTTCCTCAGCAAGGGAACGTATTCTCGTCAGGGAGAGGGAAACCATGGCATTAAAGAAAACCAGCGTGCTGACAATCCGACGCTCTCTCTGACACCGGCCTAGGAAGATTGGGGTTGAACCCGCAACCCCCTGCGAGTCGAGGACGACAGCAACCAAGGACTAAGCGTCTACCCTTGCTTTTGTAGTATCTCCTCGCACCATTTACGCGCTATTGCTAACCTATAGCATTAAGTGTTGTTTTGTTGATCTAGCCTGTTGCCTTATTTGCCTGAACCTGTGCAGCTGTAATGAGACAAGCTACGGATAGCAGACGTTATTCGTGCACAGTTTGCTGCCTCGCTGGCCCCGAAATGGTGCGGGCCATACTGAGTGCGAGAGAATGTTTCCTCTGTCGTTTATCGGCTCACGAACATGAAAGAAAAACTGAGGGGCGGGCCAGTGCATGCATGCATGCAACTTGAAATGCAACGTGCCACGAGAGGAGCACGAGGACTACAGCCAGTCCCCCTCTAAGCCGCGGGTGGCACGTGAGATCGCTTGACACCGAGCGTGGAACTCTCCACGGCAGGCTGCGTTTGATATGTTCGACGCGAGGAGCAAGAGTTCGCGTGCAACGCGTGTACGATTGTTAACCCGTCCTTTTTTTTCTGTGTCGACTTTCTTCCAGCAGATGGAGAGTCGAAAGAGAAAGAGGTGCCGCCAGAACAGCTCGGAGAGGAAATCGCTCCTCTCGCAGGATCACCCAGAACAACATTCATGTCATCATCGCGGCCCCACCCAACAGAGCAACGCCACTTCTAACCTACCTCATCACCCTCATCATCAGGTTTTTATGCAAGAGGCGCCAGGGTGACCAGCCGCCAGCCCAGCCGGGAGAGCAAGCTGCATCGGAGCCGCCGTCACAAGGGCGAGCCTGCCTAGCCGTACAATGATTGTCCAGACACCCTTATGGCCTCTGCTACCTGGAGGCCATGGCGCGGCACGCCGAAGATGACTCTCAAGCCTGCCACACCGGGGAAGCCGCGACCCGTTGCTCCAGCTCAGACTATGCTGGAGAGGGCAGCCGGGGGCCAGTTCTGAACAACACCAGTCACAGACTGGCTACCCCCAATCGCCCCAACGACCTGAGAGGCGGGGGTCAACGAGGCGCGATCCGGACCAGAGTTCTATCGGCACCAAATCGACGGCGGCAGTAATGGCAACGAAGGCGACAGCAGTGGCAATAACCGCGACGGAGGTGACAGCGGTGGCAATGACTGGCCATGTTGCAAATGGGCACGGCATCAGTGGTGGCGACTATTTTGAATGCAGCGGAGAAAAGTGGGGGCACCGGCGGCACCTAAGGCAGAGGGCCAACCGCAGGAGGGCACGCATTGGGACCCACCGTCCTAGCCTTCCTCGATGATTAATAACGAAATGTTCTCATGTTTCAGTCTCGTGTCGTTCGGGGTTGGGGTGCACGTCCACCCAGCCTCCCTTTCTTTTTTACGGCAGCACGACAGCCTAGTTGCTGGGACATAAATGTTCCTTCGAGAGTCAATAAAGCCTCTTGCGAAGGAATGGAACACTCCCGCGGCTTGCGCTCGCGATCCCCCTTTCTTGGCGCATGGAACGGGTTTCCCCTCCCTCAACGAGAAAACGCATTCTCGTCAGTGCCCCCGGCGGTACAGGCGGTGAAGAAAACCAGCATGCCAACAACCGGAGGCTCTCTCTGACACAGGCCTAGGAAGAAGGAGGCCGAACCTGCAACGCCCCTGCGAGCCGAAGACGACAACAACCAGAGTAAGCATCTACCCTTCTTTTCTGTAGTATCTCCTCAAGACATTTACACGTTATTGCTAATGCCTAATGACAGGTAAATTGCCACTATCCCTTAAGAGGAAGGTATACAACAGCTGTATCTTGCCGGTAATTAGCTACGGAGCAGAAACCTGGAGACTTACAAAGAGGGTTCAGCTTAAATTGAGGACGATGCAGCAAGCAATGGACAGAAAAATGGTAGGTGTAACCTTAAGAGACAAGAAGAGAGCAGAGTGGATTAGGGAACAAACGGGGGTTAAGAATATCATAGTTGAAATCAAGAAGAGGAAATGGACATGGGGCGGGCATGTAACGTGTAGACAGGATAACCGCTGGTCATTAAGGGTAACTAACTGGATTCCCAGAGAAGGCAAGCGGGTTAGGGGAAGACAGAAGGTTAGGTGGGCAGATGAGATTAAGAAGCTTGCAGGTATAAATTGGCAGCAGCAAGCACAGGACCGCATTACCTGGCGGAACATGGGAGAGGCCTCTGCCCTGCAGGGGCGTAGTCAGGCTGATGATGATGATGATGCTAATGCATAGCAATAAACCTAGCCTATTGCCTTATTTTCCCGAACCCGTGTAGCTGCAATGTGACAAGCTACGGATAGGGGATGTTAATCGTGCAAGGTATGACTGTGTGCGGCTGGAACATTAGCTAGGCTTCTGCACCAGCCGCACGCTCTCTCTGACACAGGCCAGGAAAAAAGGAGGTCAACCCGCAACTACATTGTGAGTCGAGGACGTCAACAAGAAAGGAGTAAGCATCTACTCTTGTTTCTGTACTATCATCTCGCGATATTTGCGTGCTATTGCTAACGCCTAAAGTTGTTTTGTTGACCTAGCCTGTCGCTTTATTCGTCCAAACCCGTGTAGCTGCAATGAGACAAGCTACGGATAGGGGACGTTAATCGTGCACCGTATGACTGTGTGGCTGGAACATTAGTTAGGCTTCTGCGTCAGCCGTACATAGGCCAATAGGCCAGACCCCCTACAATCTTCTCCTCTTTTTCATTCCTCTCTCCTTGTGTAGGGTAGCAAACTGGACTTAGTCTGGTTAACCTCCCTATCTTTTTGATATTCTTTCTCTCTCTCCGTTGCAAGCACAATGATCATGGTGATAGCACTTTTCACCAATGGTCCTCTAGGGGCGGCCTCTTCAACTCTCCTTCAGCTTATTGCAGCCTGTTGCTTAGTCATGCTAGGCCAAGACTGTCAAACGTCAAATCAAAATAGCGGTGCCCGGGCAGCATGCTGGGTGGGTTCGGCGGATTAGGTTG